CAAAATAAAAAAGTGACAAAAATACTTCTTTTTTATCAAAAACAACTACAATTTGTTAAAAAATAATATAGTACAATATTAAAAATTTCTAAATATCAAAAAAATAGCTCTTATCAAAACTAACTTGTCAATAAATTGAAAAGTTAATTTACATATCTTAAAAAATTTACACAAAGAGCAATTTTTTTCATTTTAATTTTAGTAAATTACTTTAGGTAAATTTTTCTTCATGAACTACAACCAGAACACTATGAAGAAGGTGAAATATATTTTCTGGTGTACAACTTCTGAAAAATTCATTTTATCATTAATTTCTTTTTTTCAATTTAGAGAATAAATTTCACTCTATGGAATTTTTCAGATCTTTTATTCAGGCTAAGAACTCATCAAGATTATCAATTCATTTAGAAAATCATAATTACTCAGAATTACATATTATCAGGAAATAATAACATGAAGCAAATGTTCTTTAATATATTTAAGTAACTTAACAGTTCTTTCGTTATTAACATAAGATATCCATGAAAGAGCAGACAATCCATAAGAGGTAATATAAAACCTATCTAAAAAATGTAAACAAAAACTTGTTTACCTTATAACACAGAGACATATATTTACAACAGTTATCCATGCTTCATATACACGTTTTCTGACACATTGCATAGACACCTTTAAATATCTAATCATTTCTATGAAACTTTACAAATCATAATTTATTGTATTCTACAGGTAAATAAAACTTTAAAACATGAGTGATCTAACCAATAACCAATGAACATGTAATGCTCCTGAATAAATCTTAAAAACCAACAATCAACACATGTTAATGTATGCAAGAAATATATCTGATACTGCTTGTAGTATAAAAAATACAAAACTTTCTTTCAGCACACCACAAAAATAAAGAAAAATCAAGTGTGTAACTTTAGTCAATGGAGAACACATACATACATTAAAACAAAAATATTAAGTAATGCATTATTTCAGGTAAAATAAATTCATGTTTTAATACTTTTTACAGATATCTTCATAGCTGATCATTAACATTTAAACCACAATAAATTACACAATATTATGTAATACTGATTTTATAGAAAATAGTTCAGTAGTTCTTTCTAATTCAGTTGAAGAAAGCTATAGTCTTGTTACCACTCAAGGCTTTGAGTACTTGTGCTTAGTTATGTATCTGACAACTTTGTCAATACAACTCACTTCCAATGAATACATGTGCAAAGTCCAGTCACCCACTCCTTTATCCTACACAAAAACACACAACAAACTGAAAACCTACTGTACATTCAGCAGAGCCTGTAACTGATAGCTTTTGAAATTTACAGTACACTTTATCAATGACTGCCTTGTCCAACATTAATATTTTCATTAAGATAAGATTTTCTGAAGTTTCCTAATTTTCCTAATGTAATTTATAGCAGGTGTGTGTATGTGCATGCATGTAAAAAAATAGCTATCAATAAAATAGATGACGACAACCCCACCCTAACTATTAATTTTTTTGTGTTGCTAAACAAGATGTGTTTGTATGTAAATTTTGTGGATATATTTTATTTTGTACAGATACCAAAATTTTATTTTTATTAATAATTAACCTTTAAATATATGTATCCTGTGGAGGTTGAGTTTATACAGAATTTTGTTTTATACACAATGAAAATTGTATTTCTAAAACAAAAATGTAATAACACCTACTGGTTCAAATTACCAAATGTTTTTTATATAATGCAACATGAAAATCAATCCACCAGTCCAACCATTCTTTTTAAAAAAAGCCCTGGATTTCTATGTCCAAAAGCCATAGGAATTCAGTAACATGAAATAAATTTGCCTTTTATTGTGTCACACACCCAATTGAGAGATTAAACAGTGTTATCACCACAATAAAACTAATATTATCTGATAAGACACTGGATTTTCTTATTACTTATTCCCTATTGGATTTCAAACTTTGTAAGGTAAAGGTAGAATAATTAAAACCTAGAATACAAAATATATTAGCATTATTTAAAGAAATATTTGACTTGTTTAGGTTATTTTGAGGCTATATGGTAAAAATTCATTAATCCAAATATGCTATTATAATGGAAGTCCTTTTTTATGTGAAACATACTTAAAAGTTGGTTACAGTATCACACAACTCTATTTTATAGAATTAATGTGTATCACACAATCTTCATAAAACTAAAACATTACAGTAGCTAGCATAGAGAAGTTAAATAGTGTTGTTTACACAATACTTTACTAACTGAATAAATCATCTCATCTTATTCATTCCCTAATGGTTTTCAAATTATTTTAAATAGTTGTAAGAATTAAAAATTTCATTGTAACATGGTTACAATGTATTTGAGTAACTGTGTGTGTGTGTGTGTGTGTGTGTGTGTGTGTGTGTGTGTGTGTGTGTGTGTGTGTGTGTGTATTATATATTAGTTACTTATTACATACGAAGTAATATACGTACTAACTTACTAGTAAGTAACTAACTACTTACCTACGACCTAGAAGTAGAA